TTCACGACGTATTGCAAGGACGTAGAAACAAGAGGGCAGCGGTAGAAAATGCCGTAAAATCATTTGTTACTTGACATACCTGGACGCATTAACAATTTATAATGTTCATTTGGTAGCATGTAAGGAGTAGGAGCTCCTGAAAGTTCGTGATGAATGGATTAAATAAAGGTTAAACTTCATCTTCAGGTACCTTGAAGCCTTGATTCAGTACAAAACGCCCATCGTACATAGGTCCCGAAATCTGTTATTAATGTTAAACTGGAACTTAAAATCAAATTAAAATTTAAACTTATTAAGTATAGCTTCGAATGCTCAAATTATTTATATTTATAACTTCATTTATTAATTATATGCATGAGCAAAAAAATTTACTACCGTTTGAAAATGTTCACTTAGTTCCTGTTGAAAAAGGCTAACACTATTCAGTGTGAAAAAAATCACTCACCGGGAACAAAGAACATTTATTCGTCTCGAATTTGCTATTTCCGCAATCACAGCGAAAATTTCTAAACAGAAAGGATTTTTAATCTTACAAGAGTCGCTCTCATAATCAGACAAAGACAGAAGTAAAATTAATTCATCAACATAAGAATCACTACATACCTTTGTTTAAATCAACAGACTAGTCGGAAGCCTGTATTAGTTCATTTCCTATATCTAAGACATAGAATCCAACCCATTTATCGATTTGACGTCGTGTCTGTGCTATGAAAAGAGAACTAGGAGAAATGTACATGGCAAAGTCAGGCGAGCCACGTAGTTTTGAGCTGCAACAGTAGCCATGAACTTGATCAATGAACTACAGCGCAGCAGTTAACGAAGATCTGCTAGCCATATTCGATAAACATTCAAAGCATGCCTAATATTAAGTTACATGAAAGAACCAGAAGCCACGCTTGCAGCAATTTGCAAAGAAAACGGGATGAAATCCTCTGTTTCAAAGGATATCCTTTGAAAAGATGATGAGGACCCATGGGCTGCATCGAATGAAACTCGTGACCATGTTGGACGGTTAGTACTGGGTATTAAAATGTTAACCAATTTGAATACAATAATATTCGAAATCATTTTTTAACAACTGATACCTGGCTTATATGGCAAAAACTGCAAAATTACTTACAAGGATACTGCGGCAACGTAAGACGGGTAGAAGCCAATACACCGCGTAAATGCGACATCAGTAGTTAAAGGATATTATTTACCGGCGTAATCGGAAAGCTGGTATTTTTGGTAGTTGTCACAGAGCATCTGGATATTGTTTTACTTTATTTCCGGAATGCATCTTTCAGTGCACGCCACTTATAAATCTTTTCACTTTTTCAATACAAATGGCTTACAGAGTGACGTGATTAACTAATAAAAATGGTGAATCTGTTGGTGTAGAACAAATTCTTGTTCAGCTGAACTAAATGATACGGTCTTGCGTCTCCTATACACTGCAGACGCTTAAAAACCATGGATCCGATGCTTCTTAAGTTGTTCCACTACCGATGGTCAACGCTGCTGCGAAACCCGGTGCAATGACGTCCATCTGTCGCATACTACCGTCGTACCGCTGTGTAAATCCGGTACTTTTAATTAAAGGATTACATTTACCGGCCAAACAGGAGAGTTGACATTCTTAGTACCTGGCGCAGAATATACGAATATTTTGTCATCTGCTGCAGATTCAAAATGGACTGCAGAGAAGATTCAGTAGTTATTGGCGGAGTACATGACTGATGTCTCAAGAATTCGCCAGATAACGCTAGCCGTCAACAGGGCTCAACTTAGTGATCAATTCTGCTTCTGTTATATCACTTCTGTACACTGCGGTAGTTCTGTCGTATTCAGTGGCAAACACAAGTAATTTCTGAACATTCTACAAAATTCGAAAGAGAACCTACTTTTGAACTGAGTCCTGGTGTTGCCAAAAACATAACTCCCATGTTAAAAGAGTTCATGCCTTCAAATGTTCGAAGTACTTTAGAGAATGAACAGAATATATAACGAACATCATTAACTTTTGCAGTACAATTCAGTGCTTAGTAAAGGACCTGTGATTCTTTCGGCAACATAAACAGCCAAGTACACGATCATGCAACCGATCGATCCAGTTGCGCTGGCAACCAAGGGATCGTTTCAATGCATTCAACGGTTTCACATTTGCAAACTGTCTTATCGCCTTGTTTCATAACTTTCAGCGTTTAAGTAAAGTTCATACTATTACAGAAATAAAACCTGCAACACATCATACCATAAAGAAAAAGAATAATTGTTACGAACTAAAGTAAACTTTTTCGTCTACCCCCTAAGGAAACAAGCATTGGCAATTAAATGTTATTCTAAGAGATTTACATCTCGTTCACAAGCAAAGTACCGTTTAGTGTAAAGATTGATAATCTCATGACCATCGTGGCAACGAAGACAACCAATGCAGAACCCAGCAGGTTCTTTGTCAGCCCCACAGCAGGTAGTACATGCAAAAATCGACTGTCTCTTCATGTAACCCTAAATGACTTTAATACAATGAACAATACCAACATAGCGAAAGTTAAGTCAAAAAGCTAAGAATCAACATAATAATTTTAAATTAATGGTTACGTTATTGAAGACAACAGAGTTGTTTTGTTATAGCTGTATTTTTCATAAGACTTTTAAAGAAGAATCTGCTGCAAAGTCTGTACTAGAGCTAACTAGCATAGTGGGCGGGAAATAGAGGAAAATAAAAAACCAGCCGCTGCGGGCCATCAAAGGCATCTGATTTCCGTAAAGGATATTAATAAACGGAAATCGCATAACAAACAAAGTAACTCTCACCAGAAGGAAACAATTCGGACTTCGACTCGAGATTAACTTACAGCAACTTTTTCCATACCGCATGAGACGGGTGATATTGCGACTCTCTCTCACAAGCCCTTATCGATTTTGAATTCACCTATAGTTTCATGAACTTTAATACTATCAGTTGTATTCTTGTATATTATGGGGCTAAGATTTCGGCATCTATTTTCGGCTTTCTGCCTCCTTCAAAGAATTAAATTCAGAGTCGATGTAAATTGAGTCGAAAGCCTTCTCGAAATCGACTAGCCCCAGGCAGAGAGGACCGAGATATTCGATGTATGTCTAAATGACTTGTTACACAACCTGAAGGTAGTCCATCGTACTAAATTCACTTCTGAACCGTACTTTTTCCTCTAGCTGGCAACATCCATCTGCGATACACGAAATCTTCACAAAGACATCAAAAATAGACACGGTGAAATGCAGTCATCACAAGAGGAAGCCTGATTCTCAACAAGAAAAGTCATTTTCAAACAAGCTACATGTATAAAAGCACACTGTAAAGGTGGGTTAACATCTGCCTAGTTTCGCGTAAGTTTGGATTGCCGAAAAAGTAACTTTTTGCAAGCCACAGCTCAGATACCTAAATTCAGCCTTACTATTCATTACCTAAGTACTGATGCACATCTGTAAAAATTTAACAGAAAGATTATCATTCCATTTACTGTACTTTATTTAGTAATTCATATTCTGGTGAGAGGAATTTTCATCAAAATATGCAGAAAGGCTTAGTGTTGTTTTGCCGATAAGCAAAAAATTCAAATATAATTAAAAAACGTAGAAAAATTTGTCACAGATTTCATTTTGCATATTTACAGTGCTACCACTGAATTTAATGGATTTCTTTCGTCCGAATTTATGATGTCTCGCAGGTCTTTGAAAATGGTCTACGGTTTCTAATTTAATGACCATCAAATAAACAGGCAGAGTCAGAAGTAGCACAGAGCGCAGGAAGGAAAGAAATATCCTTAACAACACTGCATCATAGGTTTCACTGAATGATGGTCCCGAAATTGCTGTATGCACTCTAAGTATGTAAAACTTTTGGTGAGAACCGACCTAGAGAGGAAGACGATAATCCCATTGTCTACTCGATTTCCAAGTCCCTGAAGCTGCCATGCAAAACTACCTGACCAAGCTCTGTCTGTCGTTGTTCGTGACCATAGAGTGTTGCAAAAGTTATGTCCCTATGCTCTTTCTGTGATATCCCACTTTTATATGAGTTTGCTGAACCCGGCAATGTAACTGTTTTGTTATGTTGAAAAATGGGATTTACTGGTGATCCTACTCAAGCACTGAAAAACTTCTTCATATCGCAAGGAAGTACTACATAAACATCATAAGCTGTTTCTACACTCGAGTATGTCGT